TATTAGTGATGGGAGATTTCGAGTGAAAAATCGAGTGGTACTCGATTATTGAGATCACTCGAGATATCTCGAGATGTTTACTACCACCACTCGAGTGATTATTAGCCTACGGTTGCACCCCAAAATGTTAGTGCATACTGCAAATAGTCACTGATTGCGTAACCTTTTTTTTTAGAATAAAACGAAAAAGTGGTTAGGTTTTGAAGTGCGTGAGCTTTTTTTTAGCTACGCTTATAAGTAATATATGACTAATACAAACATATTTGTGCGCCGCTGGGATGAAAACGACCAATATCTCGTATCTCGAGTGATCACTCGATTATTAGAAGTACTCGATTACCGATAACTCGATTATCAAAATTAGTCGATTATGCCCATCACTAAGTGCAATGGTTCTAGGCTGGCCATGAGATCGCAACTGACGCAGCCCAAATTTTTGCTGTGCGTGTGCGTGCGTGCGTGCGTGCGTGCGTGTGTGTGTGTGTGTGTGTGTAAAACTATTATGTAATAATTTTACGGAATACACACTTACCCTATATAACAAACTGCTCCTTAAAATAGGATTTTTTTAGAATGATGCAGGTACTGTTTGTAGGTACTTGCACAAAACTCTATCCTCGAAAGCAAAAACACGAACTTTAACTCCATTTTCATTACTTCCACCACAATGACAAAGCAGGTGGAAAGTCCAGCGCTTTTTGTCGCTTAACAGTTATTAGAATGCACTACAAATACTACAATATCAACTCAAGATAATCTCTAACCTCGAATTTATACGAACTTTTTAGATTACCGGAATAAAGCGAAGTTTTAGAATAAGCACATTTTACACACAATAACTACATATCGAATTATTTAAAATCGCGTTTTGCAACATAATTACTCTTGTAACACCTGCCGAAATAATTAAATTAAACTAACAACAATGCGCGCGTCGGCTTCTGTTATTTAAAATTATAACCAAGAAAATGCCAAGAGTAGTGACGCCAGGAAACAAAGGAGCATCGCATGTGACGCTTTGACCTTGTCTTTTTATTTCCACATTATCCTTTCGATGCCACGGATTCTGTAGAGCTAATAAGAGATCATTTTTTTAGCCAAACAAATAATAATACATTGATGGAATATATGGTATTAAATTGATGAATAAAAGAACATGGCTTTTGTAATACTTGATAATGTTCCTTAAGGACGGGATTTTGTACAAAAAATATCGCCCAGCGTGAGTCACGAAACGGGACCCCGGCAGGTGCTGTTCTAGCGGCCAACGCTTCAAGTCTAATAATTCCGCTGCACCGGATATTCGTCCGATTTTTCAGGAACGGCTCCAATTTGTGTACATACAATCTTATAAGGAAAGAGAGTAAATATTTTATTAATCAGTAATAGATTATCGAGGACAATAATATTTTTTTATTGAGTAGGCAATAATTTTTAGTTAATAAGCTTAAACAATCTTATAATTACTATTCCTTCATTATAAAAACAGAAATACGGTTTTTAAAATTACATGTAGTTTCTTCTTCAAAAGTGACGTTAAAACACGTATAACATGGAATAGTCAACAGTCTAATGTTTATATTTTCACATTAACAATCCGATAATGTAAATTAACTGCTATTTTCAGTAAAAAAAATATATACCTAACCTGAAATATTTTTTTACTTTGACGAGTCGTTTTAACTTAAAAACACTGCTTAATTACTAAAATATATAGAATCTTGCTACTAATTGCGTTTGGAGAATAATATGTATAGGCATAAAATATATATATAATATTACTGTATGTATTTAGTCCATTGAAATGAAGGCTGAACCTCCATTTTTTCCTCTGTCGATCAAACCTGGGCGCAAATATGTTTTCGACCCTCAGGAATCCGAATCCGCAAACATTTTTGACCTAGGTGAT